ATGACTATATCCCCTGCCGGTGGAGGGGAACTGTCTACATTAGGAGAGACTGAGGTCCAGGGCAAAGAGAAGCAGAGGAAGAGGAGAGGAGAGCAGGACAGAGAAAGAGTTCTGCTGCTCCGAATCCCAGGTTCTCTCCTTTCTCAACTTCCCAGGGTCTTCATTTCTCAATTTTGTGAGTTAATCCAGCATCTTTCCCGGCTAGATGAGGCAATACATTCCTGTTGATGCTAAGCTTGCTCCCAACACCTTCAACTGAAAGAGTTGTGACTAATCCATTGAGCAACTGGACGGATGACAGGGCCACCTACTGAAGTAGGCAACAGGAAGTGGAGGAGAATCCTCTTCTTTGGAAAGTGTGATCACTGTGAGTCCATCTCATCCAGGAAGGGGGTGAGGACTCTTCTGGGCAAATTGGCGTTGGTGTTTTATGTGATTTTTGCCTACACCTGGGGTGATGATTAACCCCCAGTGTAATAATGTGTAATCACTCCTCTAGCTGGGAGTTCAGATTGAGATTATACCCTTTTTAATTATCAATCTAATTGACTTCAAGCCTCCAACTAGCCGAGCTTAGAAACATGTTTTTCCTTCCTGGATTTCTCCCGTCAGTGATAACCACAAAACACCCAGGGCTGCTTATTAATCCAAAGAGGTGGGTCCTGGCCATTAAAATTGTGAGGGGAGGAAACTGGGCAGCCTCCCTTCAGCCAAGGTTTTCAGCTGACTTTTCAGCTTTTTTTTTTTTATTGGAGTATAGCTGATTTACAATGTTGTGTTAGTTTCAGGTGTACAGCACAGTGACTCACTGTATACATATATACTCTTTTTCAGATTCTTTTCCCTTATAGGTTATTACAAAATATTGAGTAGAGTTCCCTGTGCTACACAGTATGTCCTTGTTGGTTACCTGTTTTACGTACAGCAGTGTGTATATGTTAATCCCAACCTCCTAATTTATCCCGTCCCCCAGATTCTTTTCCATTTAGGTTGTTTAAGATATTGAATGTAGTTCCCTGTGTTATACAGTAGGTCCTTGTTGTTTATCTATTTTATATATAGTCAGTGCCACATGGTGTCACTGTTGAGCACAGGCAATGCTAGCACCCCGCTACTGCCCTCTGCTCTTGTCCTGAAGCATTGATGATGAAAGACAGGTGCTCCAGCTGCTCTGGGCTTGTCCTCTTTGCCCACTACTGGACAAGCTGGGGATGACAGGGGACCCCACCAGGTCTGCTGCCTGGCTTGCCCCTGCGCGCTTCTTGGGGAATGAAGCTGAGAGGGCTTTGCGGGGCACGTACCCACAGGCTCCGCGCCCCCCAGGGCAGGTGGCTTTGGCTTGTCTGCCATTTCCCTGACTCGGACCCACTCTGGCTTCCTCAGCTCATGAGGCTCGCACCAGCCCACAGCCACTTTCCTCAAGGCCTGACGTGCCAAGGTGGCAGGGTCCAAAAGGGTTTCTACACTGCAGCTTCAGCCCCATACTGGCTCTGAGCTACCTTCCTTTTCCTTTTTCTGCATTCTGGCCTCAGGAATGAGGGAAATTTTAACTCGAGCCAAGCCCTGTCCCATTTCCTGCTCTGTGATGAAGAATTCCTGTTGTGGGGAGGGGACAGGGATGGGGGTGGAGGTGACAAGTGCACCTCCATCAAGGCTAGTTCTTGACGGAAAAATTAGGAAAATGTCCACTCTCCCCTTCATGGGATAAGACAAAAATGACGATATATCTTTTTCTCTGTAAAAAAAAAAAATCATTGTTATACTGAGATCATTTTAGTCCCAACAGATCTACAATATTTACATGAATCAGTTCTGATATTAAGCTGGATTACTGAAGCCACACTTTCTGTAATGGGGATTGAGCAGGAAAGGAACTAACATTGACTCCAGCCCACTGTTTGCCGGGTGTTAATTCTCACACTTCTACGAGGTCAGCATCGTCACCATTATCCCTATTTTACAAATGAAGAAACCAAGTCTCTTGGGGCTTCCCTGGTGGCGCAGTGGTTGAGAGTCCGCCTGCCAACGCAGGGGACACGGGTTCGTGCCCCGGTCCTGGAGGATCCCACGTGCCGCGGAGCAGCTGGGACCCGTGAGCCATGGCCGCTGGGCCTGCGCGTCCGGAGCCTGTGCTCCGCACCAGGAGAGGCCACAACAGTGAGAGGCCCGCGTACCGCAAAAAAAAAAAAAGGAAAAAAAAAGAAACCAAGTCTCAGAAAGGTTGGTAACTCGCCAATAGTTTGCTCTGGAGCCGTGGGAACCCCTTTCTGCCCCACGAGCCCATACCGGGCCCTTGGCGGGCTTGCTCCATCTAGAGTGGGATCCAGGCCTGCAGGAGAGGCACCTAGCCTTTTGTGTCTCTCCTGATGTCATCAGATACTTTCTTCCTGGACCTGTAATGAGATATTCTAATTATTACCTCCCTGTATCCCTGGCTACAGACAAATCAGCTCCTTTTGATAAAGCCCCACCTCCCTTTTTTTTGAGCAAAATGAAGTGAGTTTTTGTTGCCTGAGACGAAAGTGCCTTTGGGAGACCCTGCCTACAGCTGATGGGGTGACAGCTACTATGCCCTGGGGGCTTGCCAGGCACCACTGGACTCTGAGCCCTTTACAAAGGGAACCAGTTCATGGGGTAAATATGGAACAATGTTATTTTTCTCACTAACTGTCCCCAGCTATACTCTGTCAAAGCCTCCTTTCCTGCTAGATACAGATATTTGAGAAGAGACAGTCCTCCTAACAATGAAACCAGAACCATTTTTCATTTAAACACACACATTTTGATGCATATTATGTTTATGTTTGTAAATTTTTTCTTTTTTGTTCCCTAAAATTGAAGGCCTGCAGGTGCACAAAATACTTATTTAGTCCTTAGCTTCCAAAACCTCAAGACACAATGTACCCCTACACGACTAACTAGTTCACTGTGCCAGGAGCCAGTTCTAGAATGTAATGTAATTTAATGTAAACACAAATGGGATAATTATTATGGAATGGTTTGGTATCGCTGGTCTATTTGACAACCCCTTTCTCTGCATGGTTTTCTCCCTCTATTTCTCAGTATGGGGACTTTCTTGTTGGAAAACTTCCTTCTTTAAAAGAACTTTCCCCTGGAAACTGAGGATGCCTTTGTTTTTAATCTGTAGGACTTCCCACATTCTAAAAGATTATTTTAACCTAACAAGGAAGTCCCTCACATGGTAAACTTTAAAAGAATCATGTCTTGGAGATTTAAAGAAATGACCTGGAAAAAATTAGACTTGTCAAGAAATAGAGGCCACAAAAGAAAATTCACAAAGGTGAAGTTATTGAAAGAAACCAGATTTGCCCTCAAATATGCTGCTCTGCATATTGATTATTTTGAGTTAAAGGCACTTGAAAAAAATAGCAGATGTATAAGGATACGCTGGCCTTTATTTTTCTTCCTACAAGCTGGAGATAAAACGCCCACATAGGGACTTCCCTGGTGGTGCAGCGGTTAAGAATCCACCTGCCAATGCAGGGGACATGGGTTCGATCCCTGGTCTGGGAAGATCCCACATGCCGTGGAGCAACCAAGCCTGTGAGCCACAACTAATGAGCCTGTGCTCTAGAGCCCACGAGCCACAACTACTGAGCCCACGTGCCACAACTACTGAAGCCTGTGTGCCTAGAGCCTGTGCTCTGCAATAAGAGAAGCCACTGCAATGAGAAGCCCCGCGCACCGCAACAAAGAGTAGCCCCTGCTCGCCGCAACTAGAGAAAGCCCATGCGCAGCAACGAAGACCCAACGCAGCCAAAATTAATTAACTTTAAAAAAAGTTTACCATGTAACATTTTAGCTGTTCCTGGTTTTATTTTGCATTGATTAATCCTAAAAGTAATGCTTACTGGAAATTGGATAAAAGACTGATTTTTTAAAATCTAATTTTTTTTTCTTTCCAGTTGTATTGAGATAGAATTGACAAACAGCAGTGTATAAGTTTAAGGTGTATTGCTTTTCTTTTTTATTGCAAAAAGCATTGATAAAGAAAAAGCATTTTCCATGGTATGGCTAAATGGCAGGGTGCTTTGTTAGGTTAAAATAATCTTTTAGAATGTGGGAAGTCCTACAGTCTAACTGGTGGAGACTGAAGGAAACGTACCTACTGCTTTTAGGCAAATAGAGGGAGAGCAGAAAGCTTTTCTTGTATCGGCTTCTTCTTAATTGCTTTCAGCTGAAAATAATCCTTACTGCTAAGTGACTTAATTAGGGGTAGAGGGTGCGAATTCTGCTACCTTTTAGCACAAACAGAAAAATGACACTTTACATACATCTCCCCCCCCCCCCCCCCCAAACACGACTGTAGTCAGTCAGACCTGGGAGTCTGACTGCTGCTTGATTTCTGACAGGGCTGTTTAGGCCAGAGGCAGGCCCCACGGGAGAGCCACAGCCTCAGAAAAGAGAGTCTTGAAATGGGGAGGGGGATGATGGAGTGGCCCCAGCTAGAGAGGATGCTGGATCACTCAGAGCCCACACACAGAGAAACGGAAAGATGCACATTTTGAATGTATATTTTAAAACACTTGTAAACAGACACAAAGAGGGTTTGTTTTTTGTTTTTATTTTTGCATTTTTGTTTTTACTGTGGAGCTATGATGCACTGTCTTTAAGCTGCCAGAAACGGCATCTATCAAACCAAAGAAAGGGCTGAAAATGAGAGGCAGAGTAGATTACTGAATTCCCTTCTGGCCTGTGGCCCCTCCATCAGCGCTGAACACCAGGCTAGGGATTTATTTTCAGGGCTCAAAAGAGAGATCTGGGTGTGTCAGCCAAGAGCCAGGGACTCCACCAGGGGCCTAGATGGTCTCAGCCACCTGACCCTCAGCCCTTGCTCCCTCTTCCCTCCCCACTGACATATTGAGTGTCACACTTTTAAAAATAGCCCTGAGCAGTGAGGAGCCTGGATCTGAGCTCAGAAATGCAGGCCTCCCCTGAGGAGAGCTGCTCCAGGTGAATGTAATTGTAGCTTGCTGCTGACTTTCTACACAGAGCAAGAACATTCTCTCCACCAAAGTCGGCCCAGATTGGCTGATGTATTCACAGAGATGTGGGACTCTTTTAGCTAAGCACTGACTTCCTTCACCTCTTTAATCATCAGGCTCGTTTATCTTCAGGAGGAATCCGATGACATTGCTTTTGCTGTTTTGCAAAACCCCCTTGAAATTTCCCAAGGATATCCGCGGTTTGCCTCGCTGTTAAGGACCAACCCAGTACCGAACAGCCTGTTCTAAGCCCCAGAGAGGTGGACGTGGCTGGAATGACTATCCAGACCTCAGAAGGCCATCCTGGCTCGGGAACTGATGTGTTTGTCCTGCAGAGCCTACAAGGGGATGAAGAAGGCAGCACAGCAGGAAGGAGTGTCAGTGATTTGGAGCAGACACAGGTCTTGGAAACTCCCCATCTCCCACCTCTACTTCCCATGGCCCCTGGGGGCTCTCAGGTATGTCTGCATTTCTGGGGAGTGCTCCTGGCCCCTTAAATTTTACCCCCGCTTTCCTGACTATAAGTAAGATCACCTGCATTGCTGCAGAGTTAACAGGTTGTGTTTTTGTTCATTTCTTTCTTTCCCAGATGCATCCCATGGGCCCCGCCCATCACCTACCCGTCCTTACCTGTCTCTGTGCCCCAAAGAGTTGTTAACTCTGACGGTGATGACCTTTTACTGCATGCACTGTACGTGCTTGGGAGGGATTAGTGTTGATGACGAAAGTGAGGCTCAGTGGGGTTAGGGTCACGCAGCTAAGTCGATAGGAGAGCTGAGATGGCAGGTGTTTCGACGGATATGATACTGGGAAGAGGGCTCAGCATCCTGCAGGTGAATGGCTTAGCAGACCATCTGGCACGTATAGATTCTAAGCCTGTGCCGTCTAGCCTAGTGGCAGGGCAGGGTCATAACTGTAACCACACGCAGCTCTGAGGAAGTTGGAGGGAATGTGCTGATTTGGCCTTCCTCACGGACCCCAACTATGGGCCAGTGAAGAGAAAACCTTGACTAAGTCAGTCCCATCTGGTAAATTGAGTGGGCTACCAAAACTGAACCTTGGCTTTAGGCAATCGTCGGTAGATCCAGATCTGCCTCCCCAGCTTCTCCGCCGGGCAGGTGGGTGAGCTTCCTGTGGGCTCCCAGCAATGGGGAGGGGTCCGTGTTCTTGTGCCCCTCTGGCCGCTCTGGGCTCAGCAGGGGGCAAGGCTCACGTCCGTCCGTGGGCCTTGTTCACAGGAGCACTGCATCATGGTCACTTTGCCCCCTGTGGACCCCTCTGCCTCTGTCCCACTCTGTCTGGACCCTGGCTTGCTGGCTCCATCCTGGCCCTCCACCACGGGGTCACCTTGCCCAGTGTCCACCACCCAAGGTACCTGAGGGCAGCTGGGCAGCTGGGCAGATGACCAGTCCCCCCAAGATTCGTCCCCTTGACCAGACTGCCCCATAGAAGCACCAGGGCCCCTGCCGGTGACCCCTCTCAGAGTCACAGGTGAAGAGTGGTGGCTCCTCTCCCCCTCTCTGCCCCACACCTTCCCGCCCTTCCTGTAGTCCCCTGTCCCCCCAGTGGGGAAGTCCCTGTGGTCCAGTAGGCCAGGCCTGCTCCTGATGTGATGCAGCGGGAGATGCACCAGCTACAACCCTGTTGGGAGGTCAGGGGCCCGCACCCCCTGGCATCAGAGGCCTCCTGACTCAGAGGTGGCCCCTCAAAGCTGTGAGAGCCATTGAAACACAGGGGTTCGGTATCTGTAAGAGCGCCGTCCTCCTTAGAGTGGTTGAGAGCGTGGGCTGTGAAATCAGACCAGGGCTTCCATAACTCTCTTTGTCAGTCGCCAACCCTGGGACCTCAGACCAGTTCCTTAAGCTCTCAGACTTCACCTCGCAGTTTCTCCACCTCTGGGGCAAAGTCATGTCAGGTGTGGATAGCAGAGTGTTTGGGGCACAGGAAGCTGGAACCATGCTGACCGCTGTCGTCATCGTTGTCGTGACGTTACAATTCTTTCTCCCCTCTGCCCTGTCATCCCCATGCCTGACATGGCTCAGGAATGAGGCTGTGCCCTTGTCTTGTTTCAGCTGCTTGAGGGAAGAGCAGGAAGGCCACAGGGCTGGGACAGAGGCAAAGACACTGTGCTTAACCTTAATATTTTCTTTTTCATGTGTGTAAAAGTCATTTCAAAAAAGGTCTGGAAGCATAAAGGAAAAACCCAGTGTAATCGCATTAACTCAATACAATAACTATTCCCTTTCAGTCTTTTTTCTCCTTAGATAATGTTGATATAGTTGTGCTTATAATACTTAGACCAGATCTATGTCCAGGTTTTTTGTCTTAACCTAAAATTACAGCCATGAATGTTTTCTTGGCTGATAATTAAACTTCATAATTGTCACCTCAATGGCAGAATAATATTCCATTGTGTGCCTGTACTATAATTTGTTAAGATTTATGGTGAAATGTCAGAGTTTATAGTGCTTTATTTTTGCAAATTTCCATGGAATTTCTCAGAAGCTTGTCAATTGGTTCTTCCCTAAGACCGGTATGAAATACCTGAACAAGACAAGAAGAATCACAGTCAGCTCTGCAAGAGGGGGTGTAATATTAGGGAATGTATGTATGTGGGGGGAATGTGTATGATTGGGGAGGATGTGTCTGCATTCAGTGACAGAGGAATCCTCCACATGGCAAATTTTGAGGGACCCACAAGGACCCACCAATCTTCAAATAGTCTCTCATCTGCCCTCCATTTTGGTCCTTGAAGGGTTTCCCTCCAGGACCACCCTGTAGATTACGTCTTCATCTTTCTAGGGCCCCGTGGAGGCTGGCATTACTGGGTAGCATATCGTCATCCAGCAATACTTCAGCAAAAATGAATTTATCGGATTCGTTTTCAGAATTACCATTTCCTGCACTGTATTCTTAGGCAACTCTTCCTGTGGTTTGTTACATGTCTTCCACCTCAGGAAGACCAGGAACCACATCTGAAGCACATATTCATTCCTTGAGCAAATATTTATCAAGGTCCCACTGTGCCCCCAGTATTGTTCTAGGAGTGGAAGACAGAGCACTGGGCAGGTCAGACAGGATCCAGTCCTCTTGAAACTTACGTTCTAATGGGGGAGACAGGCAGTAAATAAATACATGACTGTTTCTATGTCAAAGCTACTGGAACTAAACATGTGATAGAGGGTGACTTTCAGCCAGGAGGGGACAGACAGGAGGTAGGATGGTGACATCTGAACCAAGATCTGAGCCATAAGAAGACCGGTGGGAAAATGTTCCACAGAGAGCAACTTCTAAGTGCAAAGGCCCTGAGGTGGGCACAAGGCTGGTCTGTTCTGGAAACAGAGAGAAGACCAGTGTGTCTGGAGAGCAGAGAGCAGGGGAAGAGAGGAAGTAGTCAGAGCCTTATGCTGACCCAGTGCAGCAGGAGGCAGCTTTGAGGTTGTTCTGAGGCATCAGGCGGGAGCCACTGGAAGCTTCTAATCTGAGGGTGGACTTTATCTGATTTATGTTTTACACCGACCACTGCGGCTGGTCTGTGGAATGGACTGCCTGAGGGGAAACAGGGAGGCAAATGAAGAGGCTCTGGCTGTGATCCAGGAGGAAATGGAGGCGGCTTAAATACAAGTGGACAGATTCTGAATTTTTCTGGAGGCAGAACTTCTATCTTGCTGATAGATTGGATATGGAATGAGAACACAAAGGCGCCTCCTAGGTTTTTGCCTTAATAACTGGGAGGTACCCCTTAGTCATCTAGGGGACACCAAGGTAGGGTTCCCCAAATGGGTTGGGTTGGAGGACACTGGAGGTTTCTGTGTTGGACATTTTAAATTTGAGGTGCTTGATATATGCATATCCGAGCAGAGATGTCAGGTGGGCAGGTGCAAACACAAGTCTGGAACTTGGGAGATAGGTCGGGGAGATAATTGGGTTGACTACATGAAGCAGAATATAGATGGTTGTTGAAGCCATGAAGCTGGATGAGGTCTCCCAAAAATGGGGGTGGGGGTGGGGCGGACAGAAGGGAAGAAGCAGAAGCCTATGCCCTTCTGCTCCCCACCTTCTAGACGCCTGGTGGAGACAGAAGAGCCACCAAAGAAGACTGAGAAGGAATCGCCAATGAGGTTGGAAGAAACCAAGGAAGCCAAGAGACTTTGTCTATAAACGACCCATACTTTTATCAGAGTGGGTTGTCAGTAAATATCTTCAGGAAGCACAAGCTTTGTGGCTGCTTGTTGGTGTCTTTGCAGCCTCTGGTGCACACCTGGAACGCTGAGTGACAGGTGGCTGACTGCAGGCCTCAGCGCCCACGCGGCTTCCCATTATCTCTGACATCAAGGCTGATACCTCTGCCTGGCTCCAGAGGCCTGACGAAATCGGACCCCACCCCAGCTGCCCACCCTATGGCCCGGCGCCCACCCTTCCCTCCTGGCGGGACTCGCCCTACTCTGTGCCGCCTACATGGTGTAAGGCAAGCTCATTCCCACCCCTTCACCTGGATTCTGCTGCTTCCCTTCCTGGAATGCCCTCCCTTCCTGCTGCCTTTCCTAGCCTGGCCCACATTTCAGGCCCAGCTCAAAGCTCAGTTCCCCAGTCTCTCCCCTTCTGCCCTCTACTTTTGTACTTGATGGATTTCCCTCGGGACCACCCCTTGTGCATTACATCTTTTCACCTCAGGTTACTGAAGCCCACTGGACATCTTCTGCCCCGCCCTCCATATCTAAACCATCATACTGTGATGGTTCTATCCCAAAATTCGTCTTTTTTTTTTTTTTTTGGCTACGTTGGGTCTTCGTTGCTGCGCACGGGCTTTCTCTAGTTGCGGCGAGCGGGGGCTACTCTTCGTTGCAGTGAGCAGACTTCTCATTGCAGTGGCTTCTCTTGTTGCAGAGCATGGGCTCTAGGCGCGTGGCCTTCAGTAGTTGCAGTGTGTGGGTTCGAGGGCGCAGGGGCTTCAGTAGTTGTGGCACGTGGGCTCAGTAGTTGTAGCTTGTGGGCTCTAGAGTGCAGGTTCAGTAGTTGTGGTGCATGGGCTTAGTTGCTCCACAGCATGTGGAATCTTCCCAGACCAGGGCTTGAACCCGTGTCCCCTGCATTGGCAGGCGTATTCTTAAGCACCGCACCACCAGGGAAGTCCCCCGAAATACGTCTTGAATCCCATCACTTCTCTCCATCCCTGCCACTCACCCTGGCCTGAGTCACCATGGGTTTCCCGTCTGAACCACTACAACTCATCTTCCTACCCCCAGGGAGAGTGGAGAAGTGCCGAGGACAGGAGGCTGGGATTGTCAGGTGATCCCAGATGTGACATCACACTAGCTCTGGGTCACTAGGTAAAAATCAATCAGACCTAGTCATTCCAGTCGTAGTTATTTTCCCAAGAGCAATGAAGACTCATATTTACGCAAACACCTGTATGTGTGTATTCATAACAGCTTTATTCATAATTGCTGAAAATTGG